GTTTCCAGTGAGGGAGGCCAGGTATGCCAGCAGGTGCACCAGGAACAGGACGTTTCCCAGGTGCTGGACAGCAGGAAACCCCTCCAGGATGAACTGCTGGACTGCTGTCTCATTCCTCCTCTTTATCATTGTTTCCATTTCTCTGTTGGTCGTCAATTCTCTCTGATCCTTTAGGCAGATTATCTATTATCTAATAACATAATTGAAAATGAGGAATTTAATTGATGGCCACTATTCAAAATAAGAAAACTATTAGTTTTCTATTAGTTACTATTCTGAATGAAGATCATTTGTGTTTAAATATTTTATTGTAACTACTATTACCATTTTAGTTAATTTATAATGATAACTACTATTACTATTTTATTTATTTAATAAAATAATTTACACATTACTATTTTATTGATTTTATAAAATAATTTATGCATAATGCAATAAGAAGGTAATCTAGAGATATGAACTCTATTGCTTTTATTTTAACTACTATTACTATTTTAGTAGTAATTTATAATAGTAACTACTATTACTATTTTATTAAATAATTTTAAATTTAATTTTAAATTATTTTAAGTTTAAATTTTAAATTTTAATGATTAAAATTAATTTAAAATATTTTTATTTTAAATAATTTAATAAATAAAATAGTAACAGTAGTTACTATTCTGAATGAAGATAATTTTCTATGTTTAAATATTTTATTTATTTTATTTTATTTGCTCAATAGAAAATGCCATATAATTTAAATGTAATTCTTATATAGCAATGGCGTCGATATCTCTAGATTACCTTCTACTTGCATTACGTGTGCCAAGAAACCATTTAAATGATTAGACTAGTAACCCTTATTAGGTCTTAAAAGTGCATTTGTGAAATGTTTATTTTGATGTAAACCTCAAAATTTAAACATTTAAATTAAATAGGTTACAATTTTCAATACCAACTAAATACAGTACATTGACCTAATATAGAAAGTTAGATCAATGTTAGAAATGAAGATTTTCATAATTTACCTTCCCAGGCTTGTCATTAGCATTTCATATTTAAGCCTTTAGCTTTGATCTGAATGCTTCACAGATGAACTCAAATCTAAACATAATTCTACCACAGCATATTATTAATCTGGCAGCTTTTCCAAATCTGAGAATATTATGCTAATCCAGTTGTGATGCCTTGAGGCTTCATAACTTAAATCCATTATAACATTATGGAATCCATAGATTAGGGTTGCAGAGAAAAGCTTCAAGGAGTTTTTGCTGCTGTAATAATCCTATTTAAATAAATAAACAAAATGTCCCAACTTGTCAGAAGTCGAACAAATTTGAACTTTCATATCTGAATGTTCATAATCATATGTAGCTGTGTTAAATACTAATATTTAGTTTTTAAAGGAAAAGATAAGTCATCATTCTGAGTTAAATTTAGATGGCAAGAATGTATATCATGTATCCAGTGATCAAGTTTACATTTTTATGCATGTAATTATTTTCTAGTAGTC